GTCTTTTGTGTATAATCTTTATATAAATATGTAGCCTGTGATGGTAAACTGAATACTAAAATATTCCACGATTGTATAAATACTATAAATCCTTATTAATTCAGATTGTCCTAATATGGAGTTTATATTAATTCAGGAAGAAGCTTGGCTATAATTTAGCTTGTCAAGTGCAAATTAACAGTGTAAACAAGATGGCAGAGAATTGTTTAAAATACTTGAAGGTATTTTCTAAATTTAGAAGAATCCATTTATACAGAGTGTCCCAGAAATCTCAGGGCAGCTTTAAACTTTAATAGCTTCCTTAGAACTTCTGGGACACCCTGTATATAATTAGTATGCTAATTATAAATAATAGAACCCTAAGACTATAGTATTGGGAAGCTGGAAAGGATCATCAAAATTGCAAGTATCAAAATTCCCCTAAGGAGCTCTATTAGGCTCAAGTTCAAGTTATTGTACACGTCTAAAAGTGATGGAACCACAATTCCTTAATCCAGACTAATTCAGACTGTCCTTATAAATTACTCATTATGGGCAAGGTGTGACCATTTCAAGGGGGAGAAAAGATGTCTTAAGTATTAAAGAAAAGAATTACATTTTACTTGTCTATGGAACCAATCCACATTCCACTATGGATGTAAAAAACCTCCCTTGAACATTCCCATAGTGTGCTTGTGTGTAATTCCTTCAAGTTGTTATATTTCATGACGTTAAATAATAAGCATCCTCTCGCGATCCAAATTTATTTTAATGTTAAAGAACTCACCAGAGATATGTATTCATGAAGCCCCATTTGTGGGGAGTGAGGAGGGAGGGGAGGGAGAATAATGGACTACACTTAAATTTGAGTTGCTTATAAGAAATTGCTTATATGTAGAAGTGATTTCTTTGGCTGCCCCTCATTTCATATGCATCATAAAAGAGGGCTGAGAACCTCTAATATTTGCCTCTGAACCTGTTACTCTCTTATTTTTAGTCTATTAGATGGCTGTCAAAAATAATGCTGTTGTAGAGCATAATAACTAACTTCTATAAGGCTTTCAGCTCGGCAAAGCCTTCTGTGTGTATTATCTTATTTGATCTGTGCACCAACCCTCATAGGCAGGTGCTATTGCTGTCCTCATTTTATAAAAGAGTCACACAACCAGGAAATGTCAGAGGCAGGATTTTAACCCAGTTTCCTAATGTAAAGTTCATTGTTCTTTCCACTACCCCACACTTTCACTTACAATAATAACAATAAACCACCTTTCTTTTGTATTCTTATTGTGTTCAATTGAAGAAGAAAAATATTTTAGCTCTGTGTGTGTGTCCTCATCCTCTCATGCCCATCTCTGCCCACTCATGCTGACCAGATTCCGTTTTACATGAGTCTGACCCCTAAAGAGAGATTTCAGGCTCTTTTTTCCTCATACTCTTTGACTTTTCATACCCCTATCCTGTAGTTCTAGGGAAAATTACTCAAAACTTAAGTCTATCTTACATACCTCTTCAGCCGTATCCCCACATGTACTCAGTAGGGGTGAGACTCCTCATATATTGGTGTTTATGTATATCTGTGTGTATGTGTGTATATACACAGAGATATACATATGTATACATATACGTGTGTATAGGGACTAAATGTGTGATTTCTTTGTGAACATCCAGGTGAGTAAACTTCCATCTACCAGTGCAGATTGGCACTGCAACTTACAGGCATAAGTAGGGGGCAGCTAGGTGGTGTAGTGGATAGAGTGCCACGCCTGGAGTCAAAAAGACTCCTCTTCCCAAGTTCAAATTTGGCCTCAGACACTCTGCTAATTGTTCTTCCCTGAACATTAACTTATGTTTGGCCACAGTCATCAGATAGATAACGGCTATCCTCAGTTAACAGGCTGTCCTTAGGCGTTATGCTCATATGGTGCTATTATGCAGCACTTGTTCTCAATTCTCTCAGAGGAGGCCAGATTTTTATTTATTATATTTGCAAAAGCTATAGGGAAAAATTTTTTGCTGGCAGGCTGTTATTTTCTTACGTAATTGGGAAGCCTTCTTAGTCTTCTTGATTGTACTGGGGAGAAGGTAGGAGTAATTCAGTAATTTGGCCAGGTCACAGAACAGGAGAAGCTACAGTGGCACATTCCTGCTTCCAGCCTCTTCATCACTCATGTTTACAGTGACACTGTGAGTGACAGAAATAATTACAGATACATTTTTTCTAATCTACCAGTGTTTCATGGGAAAATTTTATGACTTTAATTTGCCGTTAGCCCAGCAGAGCTGATTTTGAGAGTCTTTTCATAATTTTGTTACTAGATTGAGAAGATAATACAAGAATCGAAGTTGGTCAAGAATCCGATCAAATAATGAAAAGAAAGAGGAATTTAATTTAGTGATGAACCTGTTGTCCTTGGACACATTTATCAAAACTCTTATGTATTTGTGAATTCTGGGACATCTATGTTTGGGTTTAATCTACCTAAATAATATTGGTGGAAATGGCATTAAAAGTTTTTGTTTGATTAGCTAAAGTTTTATGCTTGAAAGCATGAGAGAAAGCACTTGTGTTTGTTTTAAAATAGTTCTCTTGAGAAGCTTCCTGAGATAATAGATAATAGACCAGACCTGGGTTTGAGTCCTGCCTCTGACCATGATGGTCCTGCGGCACTGAAGTCACTTAATTCTTGGTGCCACTGGCAACTCTCTGAATCTATAATTTGCAGAGCAAGCATCGATCTGCCTTGGTATAGAAAGTTCTGGCTCCAATTACGAGAATTAGGATTAAGGAAAAATAAACACTCCAGAGCCAAAGAAAGGAAAAGTTCAATTGAGAGAGAACTCTGAAGGTCCTCTCTGTTAGAGTCTTCTGTGTACACTCACAGGGTCACCTCTTTGAATTGAATCAACCAACATTGATTAAGCAATTACTAAATGCCAGGTATTGTGCTAAATGCTGGGAATAAGAATACAAACAAAAAGAAAGACAATTCCTGCCCTCAAGGATCTTACATTCTAATGAGGGAAAATAACACGGAAAAAGGAAGCTGAAAGCGAGAGTTGGTGGGGAGGTGGGTGTTATCCACATAGAAGTATGGTGGACAACAGAAATCCGAGGAGTCAGAAACAAAGCCAGGAGAGGAGTGAAGGAGCAAACACGGCTAGTTTAGGCTCTTTCTTAAAATGGAGGTTCCAAGAGGAACTAACCAATCAGAGGAAGGAGCTTCAGGGGTGGAGGGATCTTCCACGGTGAGAAAGGCTAGGTTCTTCAAGGGAGAAGTGGCTGGGAAATGGTGATGGTGGATTTAATTGGCATCAGCAGACAATTAAAAGGCATTTTTAACTCTGTGGTAAGCCACTAGGAAATAAATAACTGCATATCATGATCTGAATTTGGGATGGGCCCCTCTGTGTACTACCACACATTTCCATTTTCAGATTCCAGCAAATCACCTGTGGGGTGATTGTTAACACAAAGAACCCTCCTGCACATGCTCTGAGGACTGGGCCCCCCACTGGCCAGCTCTCCTTCACACAAACATCTGCAGAATTGTTCTTTTGTGTCACAGAAAATACCACAGCGAAGGGGCCAAAGAAGTTGAATTTGCCTTAGAAAGAAAAAAGTTGTGTGCCTTAAATGCTTCTTTTTGAAAGCTATGCCTTTGTTTCATAGTTTCCAGCAATGAGTTTACCAGTAGAGGGATGTGGATAGAGATTTTCTTCTCAAAAAGAGAAGGATTATTAGACTTTATCTTGGATCAATAGAAGTTTGATGCATTTTTTTAACCTTTAAAAGTAGTATTTTAAGACCTAAATTTAGCATGGTCACGCCGTATGGAAAGACGCTATAAGGCATCCTAAAGACATTTGTGTCCGTGAAATTGCCCTCTAACAAAGGCTATATGGGATTTTAATCCTATTTATAACAGTTCAGTGCAGGCTTAAGAGTATTTATGGTAAATCTATATCCATACTGCTTCTGCTGCCCCTAGAATCCAAAGCTCGTGGAATGTCAGGGGGTCTTCATGGTTTCAAGTTTCTGATTTCTAAAGAACATTTCCCTTTCTCAGTATTTGAATGTGTAGTTGTGCACGATCAGATGCTCAATCAGATGGTTCCCAGGAGTCAGGGAAAAGCAGTAGGAACCTAAGACAAGAAATATGGAAATGAACAAGCTGAGAGTCTAGTAACAGCCAGCTTCCTGGTTCTTTAGGTTCATGTTTCCTAGTTACAGTTAATTTAAAAGAAACAATCTTTTAAAAAATACAATTTTTACAAAGGGATATTTACCAAGAAGATATATCAAGAACAGAAGTAAAAACACATTTCTCTCTCTCCTCCTCCCATCTTCCTAAACTGGAGTCCACTTTCCCTTCCACCACTTCAGTCCCTGGGGAGAGTGCTCTGAAACAGGCTCGTACAAACATTCCTACCTCCAAGTGCATTTCATTTTGAAAAGTGGGATCAATGATCTTGGGCATATTTTTAGGTCAGGTAGCAGTCATTTCTAACTTCCATCAGGAAACAAACTCTATCCTGGTCCTTTGCCATTAGTTGTCATTGCAAAGGATTTTTTTTTTTTTACTGTAAACAATGTAGACTGTAACATTTCCACATTCATTATAATTGCAGTCCTTTCTGCTTAACACAGCTTTAATTCGGGGGCTCTGATAATTCATCTCTTGCGAAGACAGGTCTTTTGGTTTGACACATTTGATTAGAAATTAGCAAGTTCAAGGCCAAAACATTTGTTAATAAAACATTGTCCAGTTGAAGACTTTTTAGTTTTTTTCTATAGAAGTTTAGAAACTTTGAAAATCAATTTTTACTGTGCTCAGATAACTCTTACATCATAAATCATTGAAGAGCAAAGTTTGTGAATCTCCACGGGCAATGTAATTAAGTATATTGGGTTCTCCAAGAGGAGTAAAATGCCTTAGGCATTCTTTCTCTGTCCCTCATTAAAGATAATGGTACTTGGTGACCTACTTCCTTATCTACCACCTTCATTTCTCTTGCAGTTCCTCGCCAGCCTGGAGTGAACAATGACCTGTTTGAAATATTTGAAATTGAACGAGGGATCAGTGCAGAAGATGAAGCCAGAGATGATCCAGGTAGATTCCAGCATCCCTATTTACATGTTAATGAATTTTTATTCCTTTTCTCCCCCTTCCAAGGATGGCTATTCCAAATCTTCGCTTGTTGACTCCCGGGAATGCTATGTATTCTGACTTTTTCACACCACCTTTGTTTCCTCTGAAGTTAAGGGGCTTGAACCAAAACTGTTGATTTATCCCATTCTCTTTGATGTTTAAGGGAATCAAGCAACATCTGAATTGTGTTGTCAGAACTTGGCACCACTTTCTATAGTCTCTTCTTACAAATGGCCTCAGCTGGCAGTTGTGTTGGGAGAGGTTTTATGCAGTTTCCAATGTGGTCTCAGAGAGACCAAAGTTGGGATGCTGAAGAAGCAGAAAGAGGGAAGGGAAGGATGGAAAGAAATTTTAATTTGGGGGAAAATGCAATCATCTTAAAGTTTTCTTCAGGTGTTAGTTCAATTGTTTTTCTCCTCCCCTTTAGGTGTTCTGATCCACAGCTGTAACTTTGATCATGGTCTTTGTGGATGGATCAGGGAAAGAGATGATGATTTACACTGGGAATCATCCAGAGATCCAGCAGGTAAAAGCGTTTAGTGGCATCATCTTGGATATAAGGTTCCATCTGCCTAGAGGCTTGTGAAGCAATTGTAATGAAAGAAGATTGTAAAATCATAAATTTAGAGTGATAAGGAATCTTTGAGGTTATGTAGTCATTGTACAGATGAGTAAAATCAAGTTCAGAGAGGTTAAGTGACTTACTTGCCTTGAGACCATACAAGCAGTATGTGACAGAGGCATGATTGGAACTCAGTTCCTCCATTATTTCCGCTGTATACTTGACCTGACTTTTATATGACACTTTTCAAAACCCTTTACCTTGAATTATCTCAGCTGACTCTTACAGTAAGCAACCTTGCAAGATAGGTTCAAGTGGCATTGGTGCAAGGTAGGGCAGGTGGCACTGGCTCTCTAATACATATGAAGAAACTGGGACACAGAGAGATTGAGCAATTTATCCAAAACTGCATGGCTAGTCAGTGGACAGGGCCAGTTGGGGCACCTCTTACTGAATGAGAATACCAGGGTTTGAAAACAGAAAATCCTCCAAAGTAACTCATGTCAAATTCTGAAGATTTCCCATCTAGAGTGGTCTGAGAGATTAAATCTTATAAGCATCCACCATGATGTACCCCAGGACTAGAACAAAGCTTTTCACTAGGTGAATTGCTCTGGAAATGGCCCTCTGGAAAGCTTCTAAGTTTGCCATATTTTTTTTCCTTATCTAAAATCTCAGTATTGAGTAGCATTTTATGTAGTCCATCTTTAACCCTTCCTTTTTAGGAAGCAGAAACACATATGATTTGGTTTGCTTCCTCGATGTTTAAATTACCCAGCTAACAGCAAACAAATTAAACTGGGAATTTTTTTGTTTGTGAAATCATCTTTCAAGGCCAAGAAGAAACAACATGACATATTAGAAGAGGGGAGAAATAAAACCTCTAAATAAATAATGTGTTGTGTAATCTGTTTATAGACACCCCTGGGTTTCAAAATAACATATATAGCATACACCAAGTAAGAGCACAGAGGTGCTCATATATTCATCTACATGTGCGCACACAAAGTGGAAGAAAAGAGAACCCTACACTGCCTGTAAATCTAACTGAAACTAAACAGAAAAATGTCCATCAGGCAGACAAAGCAATTATTAAAAGCTTACTGTGTGCCGGGCACCGTGCCAAGGGCTAGGGATGCAGGAAACAGATATATATATATATATATATATATATGTGTGTGTGTGTGTGTGCGCGCGCACGTGTGCATATGTATGTGTATATATATATATATACACAGACAAATATACATACACACATATCTCTCACATACACATACATCCTTCCAAAGTATTCTAAAAACTAAAACTAGCTTTTGTTTGATCATATGCTTATAAAGCACTTTAAGGGTTAAAAACTACTTATGTTAGCTGCACAAAATATAATGTCTAATTTTTAATAATCCCTGTCTTGGTCTACAATCAGTTTTAATTAAAAATGTTTATTCTTATTTTTGGTAAGCATTTTTCCCTTCCTCCCAACCCCCACTCCAATTGAACAAATAAAAGAAAAAGAAAAAAACCTCATAACAAATCTGCATAATGCAAACAAAGCTCCACATTGACCATGATTGAAAATCTATATCCCTTTCTGCATTTTAAGTTTGTCTTGTCCCTGGAAGGAGTTAGGTAACTAACTTTATCTTCAGCCTTCTGGAATCCCGGTTTGTATTGGTTTGCCATCTTTGACTTTTCTGAACCTTTCCCAAGAATGACTTGATCATTTCACAGAACTCTTCTGAATTGCTCTTTTAGGCATAACTATGTCTACAGAGTCTTTGCAGTCTTGTCATGGCTCCTTACTGCTCCATAGGCTAGTTGGGACCTTCATTACCATCCATAGTTACTAAGAGGGATGCGCTTGCATTAGCTTTGCAGATTGCAGATGTATTGGGTACCATAGATTCATTAACAATGCAAAATTGATTGTTACTTAAAGCTGCCTTTCTGGCAGTGATCAGTTTAATAAATAGTACAAGTTGGAAAATGATGGTGATGATTATAACACTAATAAATAACACTTTGAGCCTGTTGTAAGAAAATCTGATGTGTAAAACCCTTAACCAACAAAATAAATTGGGGAATGTAGTTCTTTTTTTTTTAAAGGATGCTTTAATTTACAAAAGGGTTTGTTATAGTTTTCCTCTAAATAATTAGTTCCCATCACTGTATAAAGTATGGCTTGCTTTGTACAAATTCAACAGATTCACAATTTGTCAGAAGACCATTTTGTATATGGTATTGATTCTCAATTTTTTTCATTTTTTTAATTATAATTGAATATTTTTAAATGTCAAGGGCTTGAGAACAGAAGATTGGCCTTCCCATGCCCACTGATCCTACCTGGCAGGAAAGTGGAATATGCTGATGAGAGGTTGTACATGGTGGGATAAATCTCTAAATATAGTTAGTGTAATTAGGAAAGGGAAGAGAGACATTATGGCACAGTAAGTAGACAGAATACCTTAAGGTCAGTGGATCATGGACCTTTGGCAGTCTAGTGAAGCCGATGGAATGACTACAAATGCATAAAATATATAAAATTATAAAGGAAATTAATGACAATGAGCTACAATTATCAACCTAAAAATAATCATAAATAGCTAAAATAATCTATAATGCTCCTAGATTTGCCAAGTGCTTTACAAATACTATCTCATTTGATCCTTACCAGGACCCTGGGAGTACCCCAAGTTAACACTTAAGCCCTTAGGAGATGGGTGTGAGCCCAGGTTATGAGTCTCAGTTCTCTCCAACCACTCCATCTGCCTTTCTTTGTGGATGGAAGATCACCTCCAGTCACAAGCTTATTGAAAACCATTTTGTTAGACTTTGACTAAATGGTTAATTGAATGTTAGAAAAGTATAAGTACTTTAGACCTCCTATTACTATTTCCCAGTCACTTGACTTGAAGGAACTGATTGGGATCCTATGATCCACACATCTTTCTTATTGCAGAATATCACCCTTCAGAGTTTTGGCAGTTTTTTGGGGGGATGGCAAATCCATAACAAACACCATAGATCCTAGCCTTACTTCAACTGATTTTGTAGTTGGGAAATATAGCATAACTATCCCAAACTACAAAGTCTACTCAGTGGTCATTATGGAATTCCCTTTGTACAATAGATACAAATCAGAAATTTATAAAACAAAACATAGATTTGTGGGTGTTTTTTGATGGAGAGGAAATGGGACCTGTGATTTCATACATATTGGGCCCTCCTGGTGAGGAAACTTGCCCTACCAATGTAGGTCTTCATGTGTTCTATAATTTGTCTTAGAACAGTGGTTCTCAGGAGATCATTGTACACAGTAAAAGCAATGTTGTGCAATGATCAACTTTGATAGACTTAACCCTTCTCGGCAATACAACAATCCAAGACAGTTCCAAAAGACTCATGATGGAAAATTCTATCCACATCCAGAGAAAGAACTATGGAGTCTGAATGCAGATTGAAGCATACTATTTTCACTTTTTTGGTTTTTTTTTCTTTCCTATAGTTTTTGTTTTTCCTTTTGTTCTAATTCTTCTTTCACAACATGACTAATGTGGGGAAAAAAACAAAACAATAAAAACAGTGGTTCTTACCACTGGAGTGAATTTTGAAGGGAAAAAAATTTACACCTTTATTTCAATATAATGGGCTTCCTTTGTCATCTTGCATTTTATTTTATGCATTTTAAAACATTCTGAAAAGAGGTCCATCCATGGGCTTCACAAACTTCCATAAAGACCAGGATCCAAAAAAGTGAAGCACCTCTTTTTTAGAGAGCTGCCTAGGGCACTGAGAAATTAAATGACTTGCCCCTACAGTCAGTATGTATTAGAAGCAGGATTTGAACACAGATCTTGCTTACTCACAGGACAGCTCTCAATCTCCAAAGCAATATGGCTTTCTGTCAAGAAATTAAATTTCTGTAATTTAACCTCTGTAAAGAGATTAATTCAAATTCCTCTGAGATTTTCCTCATCATATTATGTAGCATTTTCTTGTTTACAGAAATGTCATTAATATCTTTGAAAAATATTTTTCAAAACATTTTTTAAGCCAACAGGTCCTACCAGACAAGAGTTCTCATTTATTTTCTTAACCTGCTTTGCTGGGTAGGGAAAAAAGGGATCAGGTTTTCCCCTTAGGCTATTATTCCTGCTTTTGAAGAAAAAAAAAACCAAACCCATCCTGTTCCATTCAAAGTGAAAGAATTTTTTCCATGACGTGGTTCAGACACCTTAAAGACAAAGTGAGATAAATAGTAGCCTCATTTATCATAGTGAGACTCCAAGGTTCTGATAGCCTTTACAAAAAGATCATTTCAAATTGCTATTAGTTTGATTTGCTCTGTAAGACCCTCTTGTTTGCGTTCACCGTGGAGCAGATTGAGAGTATTAGTATCTGTTTCCAGGGAGGATTAAGATAATCCCAGTTATTGTCTTTTTTTAATTGAACATTATCTATCTACAATAATCTCACACTCCAGACAACCCGAATACCTGTGACTATTCAAAAGTTGACACTTGGAAGGACTTTTCTATTTTCATGCAAATGCTTAAGATTATGGGATTTTTATTGCAACTTTTATTTTCATTGTAATTTTATTTTTATTAAAATTATTTCATAATTGTTATTATTTTGTTGTGATTTTTTGGCATGACAAATGTAGGAGAGGTTAGGGCAGGCAGGAGTTCTCTTTTCAATGGATCCATGGTTTCACAGATATTAGTACAGGTCACAAATCAACCAGACTTTGTCCTGCTGTACAATTTTTGTCCATGTCTATGTAGAAGATCTACCAATAGATCAAAGGCCTTCCCCCTCTGGTGTTTAATGGATTCTAACGTAGCACTCACCATGACACCAGTCTAGTCTTCCTCTACGGGTCTTACATGCCCATGCCTTTGGTATATGAAGAGGATACTCTGATTCTTCTTTCTAGTTTTTGGTACAGCTAGGTGGCACAATGACTAGAGAGCTGAGCCTGGAGTTAGGAAGTTTTTACTGTTGCTGTTCAGTTGTTTCAGTTGTGTCCCACTCTTCACGAGCCCATTTGGGGTTTTCTTGGCACAGACACTGGAGTGGTTTGCCATTTCCCTCTCCAGTTCATTTTACAGATGAGAAACAAGCGAACAGGGTTAAGTGACTTTCCCAGGATCACATAGCTAGTAGGTCTCTGAGGCCAGATTTGAACTCACAAAGGTCAATCTTTCTGATTCTAAGTTCATTGCTTTATCCAGTGTACCACCTAGCTGCCTCAGAGTCAGGAAGACCTGAGTTCAAATCCCACCTCAGATACTTACTAGCTGTGTGACTCTGGGAAAATCACTTAACTTCTGTTTGTCTCAATTTCCTCATCTATAAAATGGGGATAATAGTAGCACCTACCTCCTCAGGTTGTTGTGAGGATCAAATGAGGTAATACTTGTCAATTGCCCTGTAAGCCTTAAGTTCTGGATAAATGCTAGCCATTATTATTGTTATTAATAATAACAACAACAATGTTAATACTTCCGTGCTTTCTTGATTTAATTGATGTGGGTATTCCTTCTACCAGTATACTTTGTGACATACCCATGCCTTCTGATCCATTTCTTAACCATGGATCAAGTAGGTAGAGTAGTTAGAATTAGAATTCATGAAAAAAGTAGAAATGGACTCAAATCACTTCGATGTTATGGCAGCTGGGGTCAAATGACAATCAACTTTAACTCTTTCTTATGGGATTATTAGACAGGGTGCTGGGCTTAGTGTCAAGGCAAGCATCTCCCTGGAGATGATGGAATGACCATTGGCTCTGGAGTTAGAGGGCTTGAGTTAAAATCCCCCCTTTGACTTTTACTAGCTCTGAGACCTTGGGCTAGTCACTTAAACTCCTTGGTTCATAGGTTGCTCATCTGCAAAATGAGGGGGTTGGGCTAGATGTCTTTTAAGGTCCCTTCCAGCTCAAGATCTCTGATCCTAATTGAGTATCAATTCAGCAAACACTAAATGCATTCTATGTGCATCTGGATCCTGTTCTCTAAGATAAACTATAGGGCGTAAATGAGGAAAAGTAAAAAGAAGGCTTCCAACATATTGGAAATGATGTATGCTGGGAATCATTGGGTATATAATTTATAATTATAGTTTAGTTTGGGGTGATGAGATACATAAAGAGATAAAAATAGTGTAATTTAGAATAGGATAAGGGCTTAAGTGGAATATAAGTATCAGTAGATCAGTTGAAGCAGTTGTTCAACAGTTTTCTCAAGGTGCAGTATGGTGAATAATGGTGAAAATTATTGAAGTCACTTGACCTAGAAGAAACAGGTACATTTACTGAAGTGAAGAATTGGTGAAAAGATTAAGGCTTTCAGGATTTTTAATAAAAACGTTTGGCTTTTGTATGGCACTTATCACTTTGTTTTCCCAATGTCAGGATCAGTATTTTTAACACTAATATTCTTCTAGTGAAGTCTAGATACCTGGTGCAGTGGGATTTGTGGGACCTGAGTTCAAATCCTAACTCTGCTACTTAACTTTCTATGTGACTTTGGACATTTAACTTAATATTCCTTGGCCTCAATTTCCTCATCCATAAAATAAGAGGGTTAGACTAGGCAGCTTTTAAGATGTCATCCATCGTGCTATGATCCTAGAAGACCACATCTTCAGAAGAGTCAAAATTTCAGGTGACTCAAAGACCAGTGAAGAGATGCTGGATGGGTATTAACAGGCTGCAGCATATTAATGATGTGGAAAGGAAATGATGTGAGGGATATCACTTAAGACATGATCGCCTTTAGCTACCTAGAGGCAGCTATATATATATGCAATATATATGTGTGTGCAATATATATATACATATGTGCAATATGTAGAACACTAGGTGTAGAGTCATGGAAAGTTGAGTTAAAATTCAATCTCAGATGCTTACTACTAGTTGTGTGACTCTGGACCAGTCATTTAACCTCTATTAATCTCAACTGTAAAATGGAGATAATACCCCCCATAGTTGTTGTGAGGATCAACTGGGATAATATTTTAAAGCACTTAGTGCAGTGCCTGGCGCATAGCAGACACTTAATACCTGTTTCTGTCTTTATCCCCTTACCTTGACATATAAAATAAGAAAATACCATCCATTGTGCTATGATCCTAGAATACCATGCTCTCAGAAGAATAAAAATGGAAGGTGACCAACACAGAGATGATGTTTGGTGGGTGTTGAACAGGCTGCAACATATTAATGATGATGACAAAAAGTGTCCTAAAGGACATCATCTAAGACATGTATGACTGGAAAGGAAGATGGGTCAGTCATTTAGGTATGAAAGAAGGATGATTAACTGATGGTCAACAGGCATTGCAAAAGTTACATTAGGTTGTTAATAATTATAATTAAAAACTAATTGTAAATTTATAACCAACACAATATAACATAATTTCTAATATAATGTGAATATATACTATATTATACATTTATAATTAATAATTGTTAATATTATTTTATTAGTAATACATCAAAATATATTAAAATAGAAGTCATCAGCATATTGGTTGAGAATAATTTACAGAAGCAATTCAGAATTCAGTTCAGTAGACAGTAAGTGCCCACTACATGCAAAGCATCATACTATGTGTTGCGGGAGATACAAAGCTAAGATTTGGTTCTCATCTTCACAGAGTTTACAGATGAGGGCATTGAGAAGTACAAACAAAGTGCTATGGAAGGTTTAAGAGGGGAAGTCATGTCAATAAGCATTTATAACAAGTACCTACTCTGTGTTAGACACTGTGCTAAGCATAGGAATTATAAAATGGCTAACCCCTGATCTGGGCTTTTAAAGATGGATTCAGCAAACAAAGGGAAATTACCATCAATTTTGTCAATTACAAGTGATTAATACATAATGAAATGTTTTTCTGATCAATTTCTTCCCCGTAAGCTCTCATACTACCATCGTAAGGTTAAACTGGTAATATTCTTGAAATCAAGAAGAGTATTGGAATAGGAGACTATATGGGATGCTCAGTGTAAGCGGACAGGCATGTCTGAGTGTGTTTCTGATTCTCTTGTTAAGCAACATGTAAATGCTTTTAAAACTATTAGACATCATAGCATGCTGGATAGATGGCCAGCATCCATTTCAAGACTACCTAAATTCAAGCCCTGCCTCAGTATGTAGTGGCTGGGTGACCCAGGGAAGTTAATTCCTAGTGCCTTGAAAGCTCTGTAAAATGAAGTGGCCAAGAAAGGGTTGACACAAATTAAAAGAAGGAGCTACATAATCAGGAAAAAATTAAAGCATAGACTTTTAGACATAACTTTAACATCATTTAACCTTAATGTTTCGTTTAATCTCCTAAAGTCTAGGACAGTTCACACAGCTTTAGCAACCAACAGATTTCTGATTAAAGAAAGAGCGAACCATATGTGAAAGAAAGAATTTCCAACATGAATAAAAATACCACTGTTGTTTATCTTCCTATTTTAGGTGGACAGTATCTGATCGTCTCAGAACCTAAAGACCTGAGCGGAAAAGCAGCTCGCCTGGTGCTGCCTCTAGGCCACCTCATGAACTCGGGTGATTTGTGTTTGTCATTCAAGCACAAAGTATCTGGGTTTCACTCTGGTGCACTCCATGTGTTTATGAGAAAGCATGGTACCCACGGAGCGGCCCTGTGGGGGAGAAATGGCGGCCATGGCTGGAGGCAAACACAGATCACCCTGCGGGATTCAACTATCAAGAGTGTAAGTAAAACTGCAGAGTGATCAGTGCCTGTGAGGTTCTCTTTACAACAGAGAAGCTTGGAGTGAGTGATAAGCATTGTGAATTATTCTTCATTAAAAAGCCAGAATGGAGAAAATCTTGGTCTCTCCACCAATTAAGGCTCAGTAAAGCTTCAGGATTCTTCTCCTTCAGCTGGCTTCACTAATTGTCTCTACTCACTCTGTAATTCACTGCAGACTTACCCTGGGAAAAGAGACAGAACCAAAGATCTGTCATGGTGTTGTTAGAAAAGACTTTGAAAAATGGTGTTGGGTAGGGAAAAGAGAGTGGAGAGTGATACAATGATATGTTTGTATGTATGTATGTATGTTATTTATTTTGACCAGCAAAAACTCTGCTTTTCTCTTCCTCTTTCCATTTCCTCATATTCAAACTTTTGAAAATCATAAACCATAAATAGATATTCCTTGAAAGGCTGAAATACTGAAATATTTGAAAGGTTGAAATACTTTTAAAAATCTGAAATCAGATTTCACTGAGCACGTCATAAAGCATTCCTCAAACAACATTAGTAGTTTTCTTTTCACTTCAATACAGAGCACAGACAAAGGAATAAATAGAAGAGAAGTCTATGAGGTGGCATGGTTGGCCTGGTTTAAATAACAATTGTTTTCAAAAGTTCTTGAGTCCTAATTGGAATACTTAATTCCTCTTTTATGCCTTGACTCCAAATAAAGGAGGGTTGGGCACAGGTTGTATAATATTAGTCTTTATAATAAACTGTGCTTAACATTGTGGCTATATAAGCCAAGCCATGATCAATAAATCAGTCAATAAACTTTTATTAAGCACTTACTACGAGCCAGGTACTGTGCTAAGTGCTAGGAATTTTTTTAAAGCCTAAAACAGCCATTACCCTCAAGGAGCTACAATCTAATGAGGTTTTAATCATATTTCTTTTAAATCATAAAACTCCTTATACTATTTTGCTTCTTAATAATTTTCTGGAAAATAATGACAGGATATACTGATAGAGGTCAAGTTGGTGGCTCTAGGATTTTATGTCTTTCTAGGTTTCCTTTATACTTTGTCAGGACCCAAGAAACATAACTGCTTTCAGAATCTAATATTTATTCTATTTTCTCTTATTTTTATTTTATTCTTTTTTATTCTAGTTTTACTGGCACTACCAGTACTGTTGTCTTCTGGTTAAAATAAGAGCATTCTTGAGTGTTTTCACGACTTATACAATGATAGCATCTCCTTAGGGTTAGATTGTGATGTTTGCATCCACGAGACTCTTTGGCACTATGGATGGTTTCATGTAATTATGATTATGAATAAAAAAGAGGCAGTCCATACAGAATCAGTAGAAGTGGCAACCTTAAAGTCAGCAGGACCTGAGTTTAAGTCCTACCTCTGACATATACTGGCTATGACCCCACACGTGTTATTTAACCCTTCAGAGACACAGCCCCCATCTCCCGGCCCCTAGCAGCTCTCTTAAGACTGTAAGTTATAACTGGGTTATCAAGTTATTGAGAAAAGCAAGTTAGGCTGCATGACATTCAATTTAAGCAAACATTCTTAAGTGCCTGATATGTACTGAGTACTATTATTCCAAGCCCTGGGAGAAATGCACAGGTTTAGACAAAACATAGTCCCTGCCCTTTTGGAGCTCTCAACCTAGTAAAGAATAAGACACGAATAGAGCTAACCGTCATATGTGACATATAACAACATATGTGTATTACATACGCTCACATAATGCTTTCCCCTTTCAGATCATCTTTATTCCACGTATCTTCTATATATTTAGATATTTGCATGTTGTCTCCTCCATTAGACTGTGAGCTCCTTGGAAGGAGGGACTATTTTATTTTTCACCTTTTTTGTATCCCTTGTTCTTAGCACAATATTCATAAATACTTGCTGACTGATCGTACCCTCTGCCTCTTTGGCTTCTCCCTCTCATTGGATGGCTCTTTCTCCATTGGAGGAGGGTGCCCAGGCCACCTATGTCCCATTCCTCTCCAGGTTGCACTCCAGACTTTCTCTACCATGCCCCTCCCCCAGCTGGGTACCTTTCTCCCCCCCACATCCCCTCTCACCTTTCCGCTTCCTTTTATGTATTGTCTTCCCCCGTTAGAATGTAAGCTTCTTGAGGACAGAAACTGGTCTACTGTGTTTTTGTCCTTCCAGTCCTCAGCATAGTTCCTGGCTCACTGTAAGAACTTAATAAATGCTTGTTGACTTTTAATTGACTGTCAGCAAGAGGGTCATGTGAAGCCACCTAGAGATTAATTGCTTGTGAAGCCGCATGTAGTAAATGTTTATTGACTGATAAGAGAGGTATGAAGCCAATTATTGTGAGGTGGGAGTGGAGGTGGGGACATTGAGGAGGAAAGGCTTCACAAAGGTTGTTACCTACACGGTTGCGCGCGCACGCACACACACACACAGAGTTCTGCAACAGGGACACATTCTGTTATTCAATTTCTCATTCTATACTTTATCCCATTTTTTAAACTTCTGGACTCTTTCCCAATATTTTCACCTTGCTTACTTGTCCTGAAAGGGAGTGGCTTGTAGTCCACAGATAAAGACCCTAGAGTTCAACACTTAAATGTGGTTTTTGATAGAACAACTTTGTAATACAATCTCTTTAAAATCTTATGGACAACTCAAGTTTTTGAAGGTAACACTTCTCTAGCTGTTCCTGTTGGGTAAAAACTGGTCAGAAGCAACTTAATATTTGATTTTTTTGTTAAAATTCTAGCCCAAATGGTCATTAAGTAAGTGGAAGTAGAAGTGAGTGGAAGTCTTGACCGGTACATGGTTCTTCTCCTTAGGTCATCTTCAAAGGTGAGAAAAGGTATGGCTACCCCGGAGAGATTGGATTGGATGATGTGACCTTGAAAAGAGGCCAGTGCTCTGAAGAACCCTATCTCCACCAGCCTTGGCAATAAGCATCTGTTGGCTCCGTCTCCTCCCTCCCGTCTCCCTTTCCACCAGGCTGAGAAGAGCTGGGTCAGAAGCAAGTGGTGATCCACTTCTTGTTGGCCCACTTTGTGCAATTCCCAATGAAGAGTAAAACTCTCCTTTCTATAAAGAACCCCCAATGATAGCCATCAGGCAAACCCCCCAGCCCTTCATCCATTGTCTTTTCTGGTGCTGCAGTGTATATGGGACAAATCACATCCTTCATCCTGGATCTAAGATGTCTCTGGAAATAAAGGAAAAGGAGTACATCTTGGTGGGGAGTTTTCTAAACAAACAAATGAAAACATCCCATTCAAAAGGGCATCCTGTTAACTGTCCATTGTTGTACCAGATGTAATAACCATTTCACAGGTGTTACGGTATACCTGTGGAAATTGTTTGTCCTAAATTAAGTGAGCTCTAGCCTGGACCCAAACTCTGGCTGTCTACTTACTGCCATTTTTTTTTTTAAGAAAGAAGGATGTGTACTATGTCAAATTACACTTATTCTTATGTTGTATCCATTTTTTTTTCAAAAAAGACAATTACATAGAGTAGCATTGCATCCCTTTAATATTGGTAGAGTTGTGTTTTCTGTAAATGTGCTATTGATATTATATATTTATGTGTTCCTAATATTTACAGACTCTAGCTGTAAGGTAAAAACAGCTTGTGATCTCTTGAGCTTAAAAAGATGCGTCATGTGAAATCTTATCCTTTTCTGTGACCCTGTGTTGTAGGCCAGATATAAATTGTAAATATCATCTCACTTTGACAGGATAAGGCACTGGTGTGAGCTAAATACATAATTTTATATCATAATTGTCTTACCTCTGATTAATCTAGACCAGAGGTTCATAATGGCAGGCGATAGGCAGCACCTTACAAAGTCCTATCACCATTTTAGACTAAATGAATCCCAGTTTATATTTACCTCCACACGATTTTAACTTAAGAATAAAAATAGAGCCTCTTAAAGACAATACTTCCTTAATAAATAATTGGTTTTTTGCCACAGTTTTTTGTGACTTGCAGGCCATATTGCTGCTGACAGTACTCCCCAGAATAGCCTGAAGGAGATTAAAATGTAATTGGAAAATATTTCCCAAAATAAATCAATATACAATAGAACATAGATAGTGTTAACATGTAGTTTTCTAAGTCAATATGCAGCCCACAGGAATCCTTAAACACAGGTATGGTGACTGGTTTCTATTTGAGTTTGGCATCAGTTACCTAGACAATTTTTATTGGAATCAGGTCCTTCCTTCCCGCTAAGGGCAGCAAACCATTGCTTTATAGTACACAAGTATATTTCTGGCATCTTATAAATGGATAAATCTCTACTTTTGAATTCATAGGACCATAAATCTAGAAGGCACCTAGGGGTTCATCTAGTAGTCTAATTCCCCTTTTTATAGATGAAGAAAGTAAGACCCAGAATGACTCAGAGTCATAGATCACAGATCTATAGTTGAAAAGGATCTCAAAGGCCATCGTCGCATTTTATAGATGAGGAAACTGAGGCACAAGGCAATTCAATGAATTGCCCAAGATTCCACAAGTAAATGGCAGAGGCAACATATGAACCCAGGTCCTTGGATTCTAGAACCAATGCTTTTCCTGCTGTGTCACACTGGCTCTTGAGCACGTCCACATCCCTCACTGCTTGGAGCCATAGTTTCAAAGCCAAACATGGTGACTAACAGCTGTTTGCTGTAGTCCTATGTCTCTCTCTTGAGGAATCTCTAAAACTTCTTACCAAGGAGATGAGAAGGGAATTTGTTGGACCAGTATTTAAAGCGTTAATCATATTTTAATAATTTTTTAAAATGTTGACTTGTAATTTATATGCCAGAGTATCTCATTAAGATATGAAGAAAGTTGGAGGATATATGAGATATGGATTGGCTTACTGTGTACATTACAGCTCATAGACAGTCATTTAACAAGGTCTATCACCATTTTAGACTAAATGAACCCCAATTTATATTTACTTCCAACCTATTTCTACTTAAGTATAAAAATAAATGCTTCCTAAAGGCAATAATACTTTCTTGATTTTTATTATTTATTTACATTCAGATAATAACAATAGTTTCTGCAGTCTTGCCAGGAATCACAAACTCTGGTAGAGGGTTGGGAGAGAAAGGTCTGTGATGAAATATTTAAAGAATTGAGATTGGTTAGCGTGGAGAAGAAAAGATTTTGGGGGCAAATCGATGTTGATTTTTCAGTCTATGAAGCTCAGTTACACAGAGAATGATGACCTTCTGTCGTTTATATGCAATAAAGATAACAAGAGGAAACAAGTTGAGACAAGAGGGAATTTCCCAACTGAAAGAATTGTTAAATTAGATGTTTACTGAAGGAAGGGGAACTGGGTGACTTTGTTTCTCCAAAAGTCTTTGAAAACGTGGTAGCTCTTTTGGTCTGATTGGGATGTCTAGCCCTATATCAAGATAGATTAAAAAAAAAAAAATCAAGTACCTAAATAAACTCCCCAAACACCTTCTAACCCAACAATGGCTTTATTAAGATCAAACAATGTGAGTTTGACTAGGGAGCTGCATCATAGCTTCTTTGTCCCAATTTGCTATTTCCATATGTTGATCTTTGTAGATTTTCTTGTCCCCAGGGCAGATGGAAGCCCATGTCATCCTCACATCCTACTAACTATAGGTCATATAATGGTTGATTACAGGGAAATCACAAATGTTAAATCTGGAAAGGACCTTGGAGGCCAACAAGTCCAACGCCCTCATTTTGCCAATAAGGAAACTGAGGCCGAGAGGGTTTAAGGCACTTGCCCTAGCTCACACAAATAGTGAAGTGACAAAAGCAAGATTTGAACTCAGGTCCCTTCCCTCCAAAGACTGTACCATGCCTGCCAAATGCCAAGATCCCAGCAGATGTCTTTCATTTCATGATATTCCCTAACACTATTAGATAGCTTTCCTTACACAAAATAAACACTATATAGGCTTGTTATGTGTTTGATGGTATAGTATGAGAGAATTTCACTTCATCTTTAAAAAAAAAAAAAAGTACTCTGGCCGGGTTTAGACAGAGTATAGAGTAGAGAGAATGTCAGAGAAATTCCGTTCATCACGGAAGTGGCAGGAACCTCCCAGGAGAGGGGAGTACAGTTCTTGGGCCTTTCTAAAGGGTTGACCGCCAAGCGCTTCAGTGTCAGGGGCCTTTGTCCTCTGGATGGCCCAGTCTGGTTTCTCACTTTTTCAAGCAGCAAAATTTCTGCCAACAGTGGAAACCACTGAGCGTCTTATCATTTACTGGGAAAGAAGGGAAGGTGTGAGGTGAGAAATATCACTTAATGAGGTCCATATAAACTAAGGGACAGGAAACACGACCTTGGACTTCTATACAGAAAACATTATAGACCATTCGCTTCTCTTCTGGCCAGATAACTGCACAGGATAAAATAGAAGGAGAAAATTGAAAAATCCACTTGTAGGTGCCAATAATATATTGCACTAAACGAATGGAAGAAGTTATCAAAAGTACTGTATAACATCTTACCGGTTTATTATTTAATGTTTTCTAAAATGAAAAAGTTAATGGTTTTCCATAATTGCTAAAAATAAAAATGTTTCTTTGTAAATGCCAATCGGTGTTTGACAATTTTGTGTGATGGCTTGTTTGGGGTTCGTTACTATTTTCATAAGAACATACAAGAGAACTCTTTAGAAAGCAGAGCTCCATTGTAGGGCTGGGGTAAGGGATAGAAATATGGTTTACATGTGGATTATATGGAGAAAGTGATGGAACTTTTTTGATAGACAATAGCTTAACAAGTTGTTCTATGTAAGGGCTTTGCTACGTCCCAATTGATTTATCTAATATAAGAACCTAGCATCTGGGGCTCCGTTAGGCTTTCTTGGATAATAATATCAGTAATTTCATGGGGGGAAGGAGGGGGCATAATTCTCTCTCCCATCCCAAATATGACTTGGTAGATTGTTCTTTGTTCTCAAAGAAGGCCCAGTAGATAAACCCTAAGAAGTGCCCTAAGGCGTGTAGAAGTAAATAACTAATGCTGATGTAGTGCTTTAACGTTTGCAAAGTGCTTTTTATGTATTATCTCATTTGACCCTCTCGACAATCCTGTGAGATGGGTGCGATAATATAATCCCCACTTTACAAATAAGAAAACTGAGGCTAAAAGAGCTTAAAATGTCTTATCTGGGTGATATAGCTAGTAAGTGGCAGAGGAAGGATTTGAAGCCAGGCCTTTCTAACTCCAGGTCCAATACTCTGGGCATTATGCGACATTGCTGTTATGGATAACGATAATAATGATGATTTTATATATATGTGTATATATATATATAAAGAACTCACTTTAGAGTCAGGAAGACCTTGGTTCTAGTTTTACTTCTGATAGATACTGGCTATATAACTCTAGGGAAATTACTTAACATCTTAGTGCCCCCAAATAACCTCTAAAATTTTCAGTTACAGACAAGTTGCTGACTACATTGGTGGAGGAAATTTTCCACATTGAGTTCCCTACATTCATGAAATTCCAGTTCCAGACCAAAAACAAACAAATCAAAAACAGACAAACTACAGCACATTCTTCATTGACTGCTAATTCTTCATAATTTTTTACAGTGAGGCAATAAGCAATATATATTAAAGCATTAGGGTTACAAGAACAAGAGTGAAACAGTCCTTACCCTCAAGGGGCTTACAGTCAAGAGATGGGAAACAATATGCATGCATCGACAAAAAGTATATAAAATAGATACAAGATCATTGGTGGGGGGAGGGGGTGGAGAAGACAGTGCCAGCTGGAAGGATCAGGATTAGTAAAGAAGGTGCCACAAGCTGAGAGTTGGAGAAAAGCTGGGGTTCTAAGAGAGAGATAAAGAGGGAGAGCATTGCAAGTATAGACACAGAGTTGGGAGACAGTAAGAAAGCCAGTTTGGCTGAATCAAAGTGTGCATGAGGGGAATGATGTGTCATAAAGCTAGAAAGAAAGTTTAGGGTCAGGTTTTAAAGGAATTTAAATACCAAATGGAGGACTTTATATTTGATCCTATAAATAAAAAAAACCTACTAGAGTTTATTAAATCTCGTAATGACATTATAAGACCTGTGCTTTAGGAAAATCAGTTTGGTAGCTATGTGGAGGATGGATTGGATCCAGAGAGGCTGGAAACAAGGAGACCAGTTATTGTAATAATCCAGTGAGAGGTAATGAGGTAAACTTGTGATTGTCAATGGAAGGAAAGGGACATCTGCAAGAGATGTAGAGTTAGAAACAATAAGATATGGCAACTAACTGGACAGGTGGGATGAGTAAGGAGTGGAGGATAACACCAAAGTTGAGAGTCTGTGTGATTAAAAAGATGATGACATCCTTGACAGTTATCAGGAATTTTAGAAGAGGGATGGGTTGAGGAGAGAGATAATGAGTTATGTTTCGGACAGGTTGAGTTTGAGATGCCTATAGATGTCCAATAGGTAATTGAAGGCGCAGGATTGGAGCTCAAGAGAGAGAATATGGATATATATATATATATATATATATAGACACACACATAGACACAGACAGATGCATATACTATATATATATATATACATATATATGTTACTAGCATAGAGATGATCATTAAATTCATGGGAGCTGATGAGAGCGAGAGACAGAGAGAAGAGAGAGAGTCATGAAAAGTCGGAGAAGAGAATAGTCAACAGTTGCAAAGAGGTCAAGATGGTTGAAGATTGAGAAAAGGCCAGCAGTTTGACAAATAAGAGATCATTGGTAAATTTGGAGAGACATTTCAGTTGAACAATAAAGTTGGAGGCCAAATTGCAAGGAGTTGCTTATTTTAAAAGAGTCTTTCAAAAACAACTTTTTTTTGGGGGGGGGGAGGATGGCCAAATGTTGACATGATTAATTAGGATTAGGGGAGACAAGATGGAAACATCTATAGAAACGTACTAAAGAGGGGAGATTAAAGCTATTTTCTCTGCATTACCATTAACAATGGAAGATTCCATCCTCTCTGATTTTGCAATTTCCCATCTGAAGTAATTCACTGAGGGATTTGCATTGAATAACATCTTTGAAAAACTTATATGATATATTTAGATTTGTTCTCCTGGGGTAAGAATATTTCTTCCCCCAACAAAAGGCACAATTCAATGTCTTCGTGATAAGATAGAGATTATGCCACTTAAGATACCTGAATGCAAATGGAGATAGCCTCCATTGTCTGTTTTAGCAAAAGGCAAAGGGATAGTCATACATTATGAATGCTGTCTAAGGGGACTTTCCAGGTCTCTGGCATACAAAAGTGTAAGTAGCATTAGGACCAATCTTGTCCTGCAGGCACTGCTGATGATATATACTCTGTTGCAGAGGAAAAGGTGATTTCCAGCTTGATTTTCCCATGTTTCCCACATGATCTGATAAAAGTTCAAAATACACATGTAATACAGCTTCACAGTACCAGACTTATTCCTATGGGACTAGGCAGATTCCTCACTTGGTAGGACCTGTTTCATTGCCTCATGCAAATTCTGGTGGATTAGTTGGTGAGGGGAGAGTTTTCCAGAACAGAAAGTCACAGCCCAGAGAGATGAAGTAGGTATACCCTAACTACATCAATGAGAAAAGAATAGAACTAAATATTGGTGCTTCCTCCTCCTCCTCTTCACCTACTACCTCCATTCCCTTCACCATGAAGAAGCTTGAGACTTCATTTCCCTCAGTAGGAAGGCCAGAGCCAGAAAGATGGCCTGGGGAATATAACTGAGACTGGCGATAAAGAGGACTAAGAAAAAAGAAGCTAGGGAAGAGGATGGAGGGAACCCAAAGATCTCAGCTACTGGAATAAGGACTCGTTGTCTGGCAAAAACTGTTGGGAAAATTGGAGTCTGGAAGAAATTAGGTCGAGACCATCATCTGATAACATATACCAAGATAAACTGCAAATGGATACATGGCCTAGATGTAAAAGGTTAAATCATAAACAAATTAAAGGAGCAAGGAATAATTTTTTTATAAGGAAAGAGTTCATTGCCAAATAAGGAATAGAGAGGACGACAAACGATAAAAGGAATAATTTTGATTACATAAAATAAATTTTGTTTAGCACAAATAATTCCAATGCATCTAAAATTAGAAGGCAGTTAAATGAAATAATTTTTTTCTGGCAAGTTTCTTTGATAAAAGTCTCTTTTCCAAGATATATGAAGAAAGGGGCAGCTAGGTGGCACGGTGGATAGAGCACTGGCCCTGAAGTCAGGAGGACCTGAATTCAAATCTGGCCTCAGACCAAACACTTGACACTTACTAACTGTGTGACCCTGGGCAAGTCACTTAACCCCAATTGCCTAAAAAAATAAAAAATAAATTAAAAATTAAACCAAGATATGTGAAGAACTGTTTCAAATGATTAATATCATTAGTAGCTAGCATTTTTATAGCCTATTAAGGTTTGCAAAGTGCTTTACAAATGTTAATTCATTTGATCCTCACAACAACCTTGTGAGATAGGTCCTATTTTATCTCCATTTTATAGATAAGGAAACCAAGGCCCAGAGGACATATTTGACTTGCCCAGGAGCACACAGCCAGTAAATATTTGAGGCTGGGTTCAAATTCAGGTCTTCCTGACTTTAAGTCTAACATTCTAGCCACAGTGTCACCTAGTTGTCTGTCAGAAATAAGAGTCATTCCTCTGTTGATAAACGGTCAAAAAATATGGATAGGCAGTTCTCAAGAGAAGAAACACAAGCTATTGGCCATAGGAAAAATACTAGAAATCACTAACAATCAGAGAAACGCAAATTAAAACAACTCTGATATTCAACCTTGTACTTGATTGCTAAAGTTGACAAAAAGGGAAAATGGCAAATGTTGAAGTGGTTACAGGAAAACAGACACTTTAATGCATCACTGGTGAACGTGTGGATGATACAGATATTCTGGAAAGCAGTTTGGAACTATGCCCCCAAAGTTACAAATATATATATATATACCATCTGATATACTACTAGGCCCTTATCCCAAAGAGAATCAAAGAAAGA